GCTGGTTTGTGTGTGTGTGCGTGTGCGTGTGTGTGTGTGTGTGTGCGTGCGTGTGTGTGTGCGTGTGCGTGCGCGTGCGTGTGTGTGTTTGTGTGTGTGTGTGCACGTGCGTGTTTGTGTTTGTGTGTGCGTGTGTGCGTGCGTGTGTGTGTAGCTGGTCCTGACTGTAGGACTGCTGGCGGTTGTGGTCTATCTCTACACTGTGGTGGCTTTCAACTTCTTCCGTAAATTCTACAATAAGAGTGAAGATGGAGAATCACCAGACATGAAGTGTGACGACATGCTAACGGTGAGCAAACAGCTAAATCCTCCCCAAAAGTGTTTGAATGCTGTGATTTTTGTGCATGAAGACCTGAATTAGACCTGGTGAAATGCTGTTAAATGCTTGTTTATCCGATTAATCACAATCTCTCCTGAATCTGCAGGTGATGTTTGCACTAAAAGCTCATTATCACAATACTGACAAACACACGAGTCAACCAAGAGCGCATATGAGTATATATCAGGTGTTTCAAGACATTAATTGGAGAGTCTGCTGCTTTTTTAGATGCTTCTCCTGAGAAAAACACTCCAATGTGTCTCCTCTAGAGTTTCAGAGGAGATCTCAACACACACTGCTCAGATACCTAAGTCTGCAAACATCAGAGATCTCAACATGAACTTCACTGAGTCTGTTTCTCCTGAGGGGTTGGAGGAGACATGAAGCACATATGAAAATGAGACGTAACTGAGACTCAGGAGATCTCGCCTTACTCCTGATGATGTTGACCTGGACACTTGACCCCGAGCGTGACCTCTCACCTCTGATATTTAGCGTCTGATGTGATTTCCTGTGCTGTGTGTGGTTTAATGTGTTCTTCAGATGAGAACATCGCTGCCATCGCTCATTTGTGACGTTAGTGCTGTTGCTAAGCGCAAATGGAGGGTCATTAGGACCGTAGCGCATTAACGGCCAGAGCAGTCGACTAGAACAACAGACTAATTAACGAACTAAACAAACCCAGAGAGAGAGAGAGAGAGGATGGTGTTATTCATCAGATTCACAGGAACGTGTGGTTTGAGGTTTAAAAATGTGTTTCATGATGGATCTCGTGATTTAATCACCCTGGTGTTCTTCATAACTTTCTTTCTCATATACATTTATATAATAATGATAATAATTACTATTGAAGTAAAACAAAACGAAAAATTACTATTATTGTTAAATACTTAAACTTTTATTACTCTTGAAATATAATGATTATTTCCCAAAATGTGGGGATGATATTTTGTTGTCTGCAGCACATCTGCTTTAGTGTTGCATGTAGGAAAGTGATGAGGATGAGGAAGAGTTTCCCATTGTGAGGTGAGGCAGCGAGGTGTTTGACGGATGCGTGCCGAGAGCTATATAAGGACACGAGTGTGTGTGTGTGTGTGAGCGTGCTTTAATCCGCTGGGAAGCAGCCACCCGTGCAATTCCATTTCTCTGTTTCCTTGCTGTGTTTGTCTTCCTGTCCGTGCTGCGCTCCTGTTTGTCTCTCTGTCTCTGCTCCTAATAAGGGAAGACAGTTTGAGTGAAAGAGAAGCGTTTGTCAGAGACGACGACGAACGCTTTAGTCTCACATCCAAACACTTCCAGCTGCACAGATCCACAGATCGCTGTCTGGAGACGTGTGTGTGTGTGAGAGAGAGAGAGAGAGAGTGAGTGTGTGTGTGTGTGTGTGTGTGTGTGCGTTTCCACAGACATTAAGAGTTTCATTAAAGCAGTAAGTCACTGAATGTCGTGAGTTACAGTGATTTTAGCATTTTTGACATCACATATCTGAATTAAAGTTATTATTATAGTTAACTAAAACTAAAACCATTCTAAAAACATTTCTGTTACTTGAAATAAAATACATGGTAACTGAAATAAAATATAAAAACATTTTAATTCAGTTAGTTGCCAAGGCAACATTTCTCATTTTAATTTGGTTTAACTTGATGTAGTAAAAAAAACTAAAACTTAAACTGAAATAAAAATTAATAAAACTACAGTATGTAAACAAAAACAAATTTAAATTAGATGAAAATGAAAACGTAAAATGTAAAAATAAACACTCGTTTAAAAATGAGTAAAAACTATAATAGCATCTCAATGTTACTAAAATGACACTGCAGAAACTGTTAACCGCGGTAAAATCACTGACTGATGATGTCACACACGTACTCGATGTGCTGCAGTGAATCTCAAGTGTTTGTCTTGATTTTCATTGATCGTTGATGAATTTTGCAACATTTACACTGTTATTTTCCTTTTCATTGCTGTGAAGCTGCTTTGAAATGATCTGTGTTGTATGAAGCGCTGTAGAAATAAGTGACGACTGATACATTTGGGTTTGTACATTTCAGAATGCTAATATTAACTGTAATATTATTGTGTGTGTGTGTGTGTGCGCAGTGCTATATGTTCCACATGTATGTTGGCGTTCGTGCTGGCGGCGGCATCGGTGATCAGATCGAAGATCCGGCAGGTGACGAGTACGAGATCTACCGCATCATCTTTGACATCACCTTCTTCTTCTTCGTCATCGTCATCCTCCTGGCCATTATTCAGGGTACTGCTTTATAAGCCACACTGATCTTAAATAGCAACAAAACTACCCCAACCCATCATAGTCTCACAGTCACTACTGTGAACATTCAGAACACCAACATAATGCTGAATGCTTTCATTTTCAAACCAGGTTTGATCATTGATGCCTTCGGTGTGTTTGCTGTATCTCACGTGTGTGTGTGTGTGTGTGTGTGTTTCAGGTCTGATCATCGATGCGTTTGGTGAGCTGAGAGACCAGCAAGAGCAGGTGAAGGAGGACATGGAGGTGAGGCACACGCTGAACTCTTGATGTGAAGTCTGACGTGTGTGTGTGAGTGTGTGTTTGATTAAACACACGTGTGTTTTTCCTCCTGCAGACAAAGTGCTTCATCTGTGGGATTGGAAACGACTACTTCGACACGGTTCCTCACGGCTTTGAGACACACACGCTGCAGGAACACAACCTGGCCAACTATCTGTGAGTCCTGCTGCTCCGTCAGCATTCACACATGCAGCTTTAATCGCAGGAAGTGTTTATGATTCTGTCCTCAAGTGATTTACCTGCGGAGAGTCAAAGACAAACAAACAAATGAGATGCGCGATCAATACAGCGTCCAGACCAGCCGCCTTTGGCAAATAAACAGAAGTTAACACAAAACATGAGCAGTGCTGACAGAAATGAGTCAGATCATCAGTTAATTCTTATCATATTTAAATACATAAAGGGTATTTGTGTTATTTAACATGTTTAATTATTGTAGGTTTGCATTTCACTGTTTTTATTCATTTTGAGGAATACTGAATGTGTTTTTGTGCGAGTGAGATGAGTAAATGCAGTTGATGTTTAGTCTAGATCTACAGTAGCATCATGTTCACACAGCGCTCTGCACTCACTCCTGATTCTCTCAGCATGAGGACAGGAGAGCTGTCAGTCAATACATGGGAAACAAAGTAGCTGGCATTACTTATTTGAAAAAGTAATGCATTGCTTTACTGGTTACTTGAAAAAAGTAATCTGATTACGTAACTCGAGTTACTTGTAATGCATTACTCCTAACACTGGCCACTGCAAACTCACTGCATACAGTGACAGAGCACAAACTATCAGCCACACATACAGTAACCTGAGTGATATGTGTGTGTGTGTGTCTTTGCAGATTTTTCGTCATGTATCTCATCAACAAGGATGAAACGGAGCACACAGGCCAGGTATTTCCCATCATCCCCTCTCGTTTGTTTTCATGTGTTGCTTGTTCTGTTCCAGGGAAACGTTCATCATTTCCTGATCAACACACATGCTTGTTTGCCTTTCAGGAGTCGTATGTTTGGAAAATGTACCAGGAACGATGCTGGGAATTCTTCCCCGCTGGTGACTGTTTCCGGAAACAATACGAGGACCAGCTCAATTAAAACACACACACACACACACGGATGGCTCTTACAGTGGCGATTCTATCAGCTGGAACGCTTTCGACACACAGTGAACATACAACATTTCTAGCCGCAGCTGAAGAGCCACACTTTCCTGCCATCCGACGCTTCTTCATTTCATCAATGAACTCACAGACTGATTGAAGAGGAGGGGAGCAAGACGTCATGAGCGAACGCTGCACGCTTCTTTAGACGGGGATCCGGTGCCTTATGCAAGATGAAGATGAGCCGGAGCGAGCGCTGGAACCCCTCAGGACTCGAAGATTCTCCTCTGCTGATCCGTTTCTTGCTTTGTTTTCCGTTCTTTTGGTAATGCACCCATGCAACAGCAGAGTTACTCTTTATATAGTCAAAAAATCTTTCATTGCATGTTTATTATGCAAGTTTAAGGAAAACATTTGAAACGTAAAGACGCAAGCTGATCTATATCACGCGCAGTTTTCTAGGTTTAAGAACATTTAAGCGGTCTCTGTCCTGTCGCAGTATATCACGTTCGCAGAAAAAAAATATGTCCACTAGCGGAGAAAAACGCATTCGCATTAGATTTAGTTTGATGCAGAAGCAATACCCATTCAGGGAGTCCGCCCTACACCCTACACGCTATGCCCTATACACTACACACTACACCCTATACACTACATCCTACACCCTACACGCTACGCCCTATACGCTACACCCTACATGCTACGCCCTACATGCTACTCCCTATACACTACACGCTACGCCCTATACACTACACCCTACACTCTACGCCCTATACACTACACCCTACGGCGACGGAGGGCTGAACATCAGCGTTTCCCTGCAGGAGCTCAACTCACGCTTAATAACTGTAGAAACACGTCACGCACAGACTCACAAAAGGCCTGCGGAATCGAGACATTTCCCATCCTTCAGGAAACCACTGCACTTTCTTTCATAGCCATGACGAAGACCAGATGCTTTTCTTATTTGTTCTATACAAAACAATGTGAATCATTGCAATAACAACGAATGGGCTAAAAAAAACCAGCCGCAACTATGTGAGAGAAATTTTACTCATGTAAAGAATTTTGATAACAAAAAAAAAACCTCATCGGAAAATAACCTGTCAGACTTCAGTGTACTGTGTAGAGTTGTGCGCATATAACTGTGTGTGATCTGTAAAAGGGAACTCAAAGACTTGCATGATTTTGAAAAATAAAGCGATTATTTATTGATGCTTGTAGGTGAGGATGTGCTTACGATCACAGAAACATCATTCTTCAGATGATTTGCTCCTGCAGACGAGGCTGAATGTGATGCTGTCCGAATGAAAGCGCATGGAAATAATGGCTTATGTTCATAAACTTTTTACAATTTGCTCATTGGGTTGGAAAAGTGTGCAACGAAGATTCATCTTTGGCCAAAACATGAAGGTAAAAAGCTCAGTTTGACCAACTTCTGCTAGTTAACTCATGTTTGTCAGGTGATTTCAAGTGTCTCGGCCTAGTTCATGACACACAAGCAGGATTAACCCTCAGAATGCATTCAAAATCTCTACTATGTTTGCATTCCGGGTCCATTTGGATACAAAGAATCGTTTTTCTATAAAACTTAATATAATAAGTTTAATATTTTGCAACCATATTATGCATCTGATCAGCAACTTCTCATTAATGAAAAGTTATTACTCCGTGTTATTACTGCATTTACCTCTTTTTTTATTAAATAAAAAAATTGAGAGATTATTTAAAATTTCAAGTTACAAATGAACCACACCAAAAAAATATAATGCAAAATATTTTTTCCAATATTGTTGAGGAATATTATTTGAATATACTGTATCATTGTATGAAATATACACACACACACACACAAAATCTGAGAATTATCAGTATTAATCCCATTGGAATGAATGGAATTTAATTAAATTACAAACTGTCCAAATTTATTAAACCTACATATTTATTTCTAATAAAACAGCATAAATAAAACTGATCATTTTTAGTGCTGCAATGGTTCATCAATAGGAAACATATTCATGTTCATCAACAAAATTTAGTTCTAAAAGTGTGTGAGATATGGGGAAAAGTTTTTGACACTAATAAAACGTCATAGAAAGATAATTTTACCAATAAATAAATAAATGATGTGCATTTTGAGGGTCTTAAAGCATTTAAGTTTTGTTCCCTTACTATGCATTTTTTAGTCTTTATGTGTCTCTTCTGGGTCAAAACAGAGCCGAATGCATTATAAGGGTTAAGGTTGCATGTAAATCTTTCTTTTATTACACAGGTTGTCACTCAGTTCAGCATTGCAGGAGCTGCTGGCTGTGAAATCTACAGAAGAAAAAGGTACGTGGTGCCCAATCGAACACCACAAGATGTCCACATGATTGCGGCGCTCAGAGTATTTCAAAAGTGCAGGAGAAATTCTGGTTTCCATGATATGAGCCCTTTAAAATGTTGGCTTTCAAAGCAGGCCTCATTTTCTCTTGCGACTGTGAATAAATATGAAAAACTCTGTTTATATTCTGAACTGGGAGTGAGTCCAAACAAAGAGCCCATCTGATTCCAAAGAGACTTTTGTTAAAGCCATTTCCAAAAACAATCAGCTCGCTGGATGTTCTGGGGGAGAAAAGCTCCTGCTGGATTTGTTTTGAATGTCCTGTGAAGACTGTGCCTGTGAATCACGCGTTTATGTTCAGTTTGAGTCGAGCTGAATATTGAGAGATTCTCACCTGCACTGTGAGGCTTCAAAGAAACATAATGAAGGCATTTTATCTGAATGCAAAGTCCAGACGTGGCCAACAGCGTGAGAAATCGCTTTATATTCAAGATGTGGAAACAATTAATTTTCCTGTCCTCCAGCTAACTGCAGAAAATCATCATCTGTCGCTCAAAGTGAGAAATGAACCTCGATGCAGCAGAGCGTCTGTATCTCACAGTGGATCTTCTTTTACAGTATTCTGGAATTATTCATATCTGTTCTGCAGATCCAGACGGAAGCGGACGCTCCTGAACATCTGTAATTGTCTGAATATTTCAGATGTGATGATTGGAGCTCAGGGAAGGGTTGGTTTATACTGATTAACCATCATACCTGATCCTAATGGTTCATTTAGGCCAGGAACCGCAGACGGCTGACCTCTGACCTTTGCAGCTCTGCACCTTCATTAGCCTCTCACTTAACGCTGAAACTCTCAGGGTTAGATCATAGTTAAGCAGTTGACGCGTCCTCCTGCTGTCTGTGTATCTGCTGGATTTCTTTCAGACAGGTGAAGTGTTTCTCTGGCGTCTGAAGAGGCGCTCTGAAGCACATGATTGGTTTGATTGTCCACTTGATTAAATGGTTGAAAGTCCCTTTGAGTGAGTGTCCGGTGTGTCTTTCTGCAGGTTTAAATCCATTTGAGCATTTCGGTTCTGCTCCTTTCAGCCATCAGCGGCTTTTCATGAGGAACTGAACCGATAACAGAGAACATCCTTATCTCACTCCAGCTGTCTGTGTCCGGTGCTGTCCGTCTGTCTGTCTGTCTCTGTCTTTCTCTGTCTGTCTGACTGACTGTCTGTCTCTGTCTGTCTGTCCGTCCGTCTGTCTCTGTCTGTCTATGTCTGTCCATCCGTCTGTCTCTGTCTGTCTGTCCGTCCGTCTGTCTGTCTGTCCGTCTGTCTCTGTCTGTCTGTCTGTCTCTGTCCGTCCATCTGTCTCTGTCTGTCCGTCCATCTATCTCTGTCCATCTGTCTGTCTGTCCGTCCGTCTGTCTCTGTCCGTCTCTGTCTGTCTTTCTCTGTCTGTCTGTCTGTCTGTCCGTCCGTCTGTCTCTGTCTTTCTCTGTCTGTCTGTCCGTCCGTCTGTCCCTGTCTTTCTCTGTCTGTCTGTCCGTCTGTCTCTGTTTGTCTGTCCGTCTGTCTCTGTCTTTCTCTGTCTCTGTCTGTCCGTCCATCTGTCTCTGTTTGTCTGTCCGTCCATCTGTCTCTGTCTGTCTTTCTCTGTCCGTCTCTGTCTGGCTGTCTCTGTCTTTCTCTGTCCGTCTGTCCTGTCTGTCTGTCCGTCTGTCTCTGTTTGTCTGTCCGTCTGTCTCTGTCTTTCTCTGTCTCTGTCTGTCCGTCCGTCTGTCTCTGTTTGTCTGTCCGTCCATCTGTCTCTGTCTGTCTGTCTGTCTGTCTCTGTCTGTCCATCCTTCTATCTTTGTCTGTCTGTCCATCTGTCTCTATCTTTCTCTGTCTGTCTGTCCATCCGTCTGTCTCTGTCTGTTTGTCTGTCTGTCTGTCTGTCTGTCTCTGTCTTTCTCTGTCTGTCTGTCTGTCTGTCTGTCTGTCCGTCTCTGTCTGTCTTTCTCTGTCTGTCCGTCTGTCTCTGTCTGTCTGTCCGTCCATCCGTCCGTCTCTGTCTGTCTGTCTGTCTCTGTCTTTCTGTCCGTCCGTCTGTCTCTGTCTTTCTCTGTCTGTCTGTCTGTCTGTCTCTGTCTGTCTTTCTCTGTCTGTCTGTCCGTCCGTCTGTCCCTGTCTTTCTCTGTCTGTCTGTCTGTCTCTGTCTTTCTCTGTCTGTCTGTCCGTCTGTCTCTGTTTGTCTGTCCGTCCATCTGTCTGTCTGTCTCTATCTATCTATCTGTCTGTCTCTGTCTCTCTCTGTCTGTCTGTCTCTATCTATCTATCTGTCTGTCTCTGTCTCTCTCTGTCTGTCTGTCTCTATCTATCTATCTGTCTGTCTCTGTCTCTCTCTGTCTGTCTGTCTCTATCTATCTATCTGTCTGTCTCTGTCTCTCTCTGTCTGTCTGTCTCTATCTATCTATCTGTCTGTCTCTGTCTCTCTCTGTCTGTCTGTCTGTCCGTCCGTCTGTCTCTGTTTGTCTGTCCGTCCATCTGTCTGTCTGTCCATCCTTCTGTCTCTGTCTGTCTGTCTGTCCATCTGTCTCTGTCTTTCTCTGTCTGTCTGTCTGTCTGTCTGTCCATCTGTCTCTGTCTTTCTCTGTCTGTCTTTCTCTGTCTGTCTGTCCGTCTGTCTGTCTCTGTCCATCTGTCTGCCTCTGTCTTTCTCTGTCTCTGTCTGTCTGTCTATCTATTGTTGTTTTGTCTGTGGTGTGTGTTGTGGGTGAATGTGTTAGTTGCCATTTTAACTCTGCAGATGCTCATAAAGTGGTTCAGATGTCACTGCCATCAAATACAGATTGAAGGTAAAGTAATTAGCGCATAATTATTTTAACTGCAGTAACGACTGCAGGGCTGATTAGACAGAATATCATGGGTTAGTTAGGTCGAGTCGGTTAGGTGAGTTTGTGAGCGAGCGGTTTAATCACTGAACTCAGAATGAGCATCAGTTTCTCTGCAAGATCACTGAAAACTCTCTGACAGCCATATGATTATCATCGGATATCAATCTGTTCATCATTTAGTATCATGGCATATCAAAGCAGCATGATGTTAGCATCTCAGGAGTTTGTGCCGGTGTGAAGATTCGTTCATCTGTGTTTGATTCTCTCCAGTGCCGCTCAGGAACCGGATTTCACTGATGTTGAACAGATGATTGTTTGTGCGGCTGAAATATTACTATCATTAAAACACATTTTCACATGTATCTGGAATCCAGGAAACCAACTTCAGTGAGAAAAACCAGCGGCTGTCGACATTAAACCATTCTGTGAATGATTCACTTTATTTCAGAGCTTCATTCTTTCCTTTGTGCTAAACAGCTTTTTTACTTCTCCTGAGAAAAAGACCCCAGTAATTGTTGATCTGAGCGGATCTAGAATTTAAAACAACTGGTGCCTCATTTGTGGCTGTTTTATTTCTCCTGAAAGAAACATCTGAGACCAAGTGAAGACTTCAGTGAAACATCTGAGCAGCTGAAGAAAAGCTTTTAGTGATTCATCAAATGTAAATGCTGTGTCATCGATTATAAACAGACATCAATCATGGGAATCGTATTAATGA